GAAGCCTTTGGAGGCTGAGGTCCTCCTTAGGCCGATGTCAGACTTTGCGAATCGCGCGATTCGCTAGCGTCTGCGGTCGCGTCGCGGCCAGTGAATCACTCAATTGGCTGGTACCGCAACGCGACCGCGGACGCTAGCGAATCGCGCGATTCGCAAAGTCTGACATCGGCCTATGGAATGCTTCAGATCATCTTTATTCTAGGGTGTTCCTCTTGGCCTAATAGCGGCAATCCCTTTACTGTTACAAAGCAAACATGTTTCTTATGGCCAACAAGCGGTGTTCTCTTTTGCATATTGGCCGTTCAGGTTTGTGAATGGTTTTGAATTTCACTGTTATGTGTGTTGTATGGTTGTTTAGATTTCCTTTTTAGTATGAAATTGTTATGGGCGCCAATAGTCGACTCAGTGTATTGGCGACGGATTGGACGACGAAAATCTTGGATGGTTCCGTGTCAGTACCTCATAGGATTATTCATGCTCGTACTTTCATTCAGAGTTCCGTATGTTATGGGTGAGGAAACAGGTGAGTACAGTTAATCTGCTGATTATAAAACCGTTTGGGTGAATATTTTTATTCTCCGTCATGGGCCGTATGCTGAATGTTGGGGAGGGGACGGGGATGGGGAAAGGTTGGGGAGGTTCGTCGCAGGACCCACTGGGCAACGGCCGCACCTTTGATTTTGCAGCTTTGTTTCCATTCTTTCATCGCTGTTTTTGGGATGAAGAAAGGTATTTACGAGCGAATATACAATCAGAAACAGTAAAAGGATGGAAACAAAGCTGCAAAATCAAAGGTGCGACCGTTGCCCAAGTGGGTCCTGCGACGAACCTCCCCAACCTTTCCCCATCCTCGTCCCGGTCGACTGACTACTTAAACTCAGCCCTTTAAACCCATTCAGCATACGGCCCATGATGTCGTGAGTGTCATCAAAATGCAAGTCCATAGGCCAATTCACTGTCCTAATAAAGGGGCTGCGATTTTTTGTCCTCCAGCTAATCATTCCCTTCCCCATATTCTCAGAAGTGTGTTCTCTTGTGGTTTACTGCTCCCATGACAAAGAGTCGCGTAGGTTGGGTGGGGCAAAGAGGTTCTCGATGTTAATCTCTAACCTTTACTTCTTTGGATCAGCGCAACTTTTCGGGTACCCCCCAGGAGGCCCGTCGCGCGGCAAGAAGGCAGAGTCGCGGACGAGTCGCAGCGCGTGAGCGATGTAGGACGTGCAATGGAACATTCTATTTAACTTGACGCGAAATCCCTACAGTACGCGCGGAACTCGTCCGCTGACTCGCCTTTTGTCGCGCGACGGGCCTCCTGGGGGGGTACCCCAACTTTTCAGTATCGTGTTGAAGGTTTTCTGCAGCTCTTACAACTCAACCTCATTAAACTCCAGGTCATAACTTCATTTCTAGATTGTGAAATCTTTATGTTTAGATGCTGCACCTAATGTGCTATTTCTCATGTTGATATTCTTACCACTGAATTTTCTCGCTGCAACTCAGGATATCGCTGTAGATGGTTGGGCTTTAACGATTCTGTCAAGGTGGGTTTTTCTGTTGGCCTATTTTCCTTTATTTTTACTTTTGACTACTGTTCTTTCCTCCCACTGTTCCCTTCTCTTTCTGCACTGCTGTGTAGTTGTTATGATCTCAAAATCGTTTTCAGGAAAAATGTGGGTTATGCCTCCACTTGCAATGCGGTTGGTCAGACTGCTGGTTATTTCCTTGGTAATGTAGTATTTTTGTCATTGGAATCAGCAGATTTTGCAAACACATTCATTCGCTCTGCCGATAACCAAAAACCGTATGGAATAATCGATTTAGCAGGTTAGTGGGCGTGGTGGTACATGCTGGCGCATTGGATTTTACAATAGATTGGGTTTATAAAATGCCAATGTAGATTGTTCTCCGTTGATATCTTCGCCTATCCCTGTTAACTTATAGGGTTTTGTGTTCTTTGGGGTTGGGTCTTCATCGTCTCAACAACGTTAGTGTTGCAAATTCTTCGTGAGTGTTTTGATCTTATCTCTTACGTTATGCTAATGATAATTTGTAGTTCGCAAGTGTTTACAGGGGAGGCGGAAATGATGGTGAAGAAGAGCTAGAACTTGGTATCGTAGAAACTTACAGCGTTTTGTGGAGGATCCTCAAATTGAAACCCATGCTTATCATGCTGTTTATTCTGCTACAGGAAAGGTATCGTTTATTCAAGTGATTTGACGTGTTCGTCTTTAGCAATTCAAAGGTCTCGTACATAATAGAAACTGTAGGTCGCCTTCGCTGCCACCGATGGTATTACTGGTCTGAAATTAATTGGTATGGGCATGCCAAAAGATAGGCTAGCTAGTTTTGGCCTATTTTTAACACCACTGCAGGTACGTTTTACTTCTCAATTTCTTTTTAAGTCTTATCCGGCACTGCCTGGATGAATTTGTACCATATTTTCTTGATGTATTGTAGATTTTACTTCCGTGGATGATTGGGAAGTGGACGGCAGGGCCAAGACCATTGAACATTTTCCTGCTTGCATATCCATACAGGTAATACTAAATCTAGTTTGACGTTTGGAATCATGAATCACCTCTGTTATTTTTCGAATGCTCCAAATTAATTATAATTTTTGTCTCTTTGAAGGTTATTCGTTGGAGGGATATTTGCCGCTCTAGTGTATTTCACGCCATATTTCAAGCTAGATACTGGTAAATTTAATAACTTAGTGTATGCTATATGGATATTCGGCTACATACTTCACCAGGTATATGCTTTTTTTCTTTGGACGTATTTTCGAAAGGTTTCCTCATTCTTGTGTTTCAAAGCAACGTTAAATCTTTGAGTGCTGTATGATATCGGTGCTCGGCTAAATATCCTTTTCATTAAGGTGGCGACGTATTGCATGTTTGTGTCGATGATGGCGTTCAATGCCCAGGTGTCTGATCCGCGCGTTGGGGGCACGTACATGACGTTGCTGAACACGTTGAACAACCTTGGGGGTAACTGGCCTGTTACTTTGGTGTTATCTATCACAGATTGGTTCACGTGGAAGGACTGCGTTGTCAAGGGGACTAAAGAGTGAGTTCTCTCTACATTTTCTCTTATAACGTTCGGTATCGTTTCGTTCTTAAAATTGCATTAGAGTAAAATGTTTTTGCCGCATTTTTTGTTTGTTGGGGTAATGTGGCCGTGCTAATGTGTCACCATTTCCAGGCGCCTTTCTGACGCCAATTTAGCGCCTTTCTGACGCCAATTTAGCGCCGCTACTTTTTTTCAGGCTCGTAAAATCTAATCGTAGTTGTTGTTCGGTATAATGGAGAGCATCACAACATTCCCAGATCGTTGATTTTTTCGCAAACTCATAAGCGTTAATTCAAAGCGAGATCTTAAACGTATCTATTATTTTGAGTGTGCGTGTTTTGAGTGTTGAGAATTGAAAGGCTGTAGTGCCGAAATAGCACAGTTTCTTAATCAAACACATAGGCTAAAAAACAGGTGCTTCGAGTTTTAGAGACTGGTGTCATAAATTTCGTGGATGTCGGCTCACTTCATAGGAAATGCACCTTTTTATGAAGGGAGGCTGAACTGTAGAAAGGCATGCACAACAAGATCTTACTCGTCCCTTTAATCGCCTTCGTGCCTATCCCCGCTTCCGATGGCAGCTGGTCTGTGGCTGTCAACCTCTTTAGTAGAGTGGCAGAGCAGAGCAATACTGATGATGACGTTACATCGCTGCGGCTCGTCTAGCTAACGTTCCGCGAATTTGAGGCCGTTTCCCCTGTTTTTTTTCCCCTCTGCTGCAACACCATTGAACACACTCTGTTTAATTTTCATCGGCAACTATTTTAACGTGTCATCTAATCTTTAATACGTTGACATCGCGAGTTTTGGCGTTTTGACCACGATAATGGGCGCGAATTCAAGAGCGGCAGTCTCACCACATTTACGACAACAATAAATAGAATGAAACAATGCCATCATTAATCATTGCGTAGAAGTTATCCAAAGGTGTATAGAGCAATTTCGATAAGAGTATGTGAAATGTCAACTAAAAAAGAAGTTTTATCGTTGGCTGCAGCGGGCGCCGAAAGCAGTTGTTTTGATTGTTCCAATAAAAACACATGTGTGCCGTCCACAGAGCTCTGTATGTTAATTCTAGTGAAAAAAGGCGAAGAAAAAACCGAACTAAAATTTGTGCAACCAGCAAATCCTTGCTAAGCCTGAGCATATCTGACCATTTTGTAATCCACGTCGCCTCTAGTTATGTTGATGTATGGTCCAAGTAATAAATACAAAATACTGCGAAGAAATAGTGCATGCGCAAAAAAGGATGGTATGGGTGTGGGAAACATATATTCCGTATGGTCTCACTTTGCGTGGAGTGTGCGAGATGTATGTTTCCCGCGTCGTCGTGTTGTGTGTTGACTGTTAGTCATTGACTATATGCAGGGTTCTTTGTTTTCTAGGGTGCTCTATACATGCAATACGAAAGCTCTGGCGGATCAGTGCTCTGCCGGTGGTGATGTATGCGAGGTGGCAATCGACGGCTATTATATCTCAGTTGCTGTGTGCTCTGTAATCGGTCTCATATGGTGAGTATTCGTACATTATCACGATCGAGCTAGATAAATTTTTGCAACAGTGCAATTTCACATTCAAGCAGTGTTCTCTTATTTCCCTTTATTTCTTCTTATGTCGCTG